AAAACTCTCCGCCAGAGGTTTGAACTGCACCTCTCTGTCATTGAGAGGAGACCAGGGCCATCTCAGGATGTCATTAGAAGTGCTATCTATCTCTGAAAGCCAGGTGGACTTGTCCTCTAATGAGGACTCAGCTGTCATGTAAGCAGTGACTGGAGGAGGTGTCAAACACAGGTGCCATTGTCAGTCCGGGACACTGATATTCTCCTCCACTGAGTAACACTGAGATGGCATCATTATAGACAGAGACGGACAGGGGGGACAGGGGGATTAACCAGACAAGACAGTGAGATGGTAATGATATATTTACTTGTACAAGTTGAACAAAGAAGTCCAATTGTTGTTATGTTTGACTTTTTTTTGTGTCTACATCGGTTTGTTTGTCCGTTTGTTGTACAAGTCCCAACATTTGGTCATACAGACATGCCACTAGCAAGAGGGCTTCGTAGAGCGTGGGTAGGAATTATCAATGTTTGTTGACTTTTCAACCTCAACTGAACAGGCGAACACATTTAGCTTTAAGAATTCCAAGGCCATTATATGTCAAGGTAGATGAAAAACTAAAGATTTTATTTTCCTATCTTTCCTTCTGGTTCAACTGCCATCACTGCATGACTGAAGAGCCATTTTCTCTGTGACCTTTTCACAGCCTGGCAAAATTGGAAATGGTAAAGGTTTATGGAAAGCTGAACTTGTCCAAGATAATATCAGCTTTACCACTGTGGTTAAACAAAATCTTCACACAAGAAGTCTAAACATTAAACATGACCTGTTCCATTTCTTAGCCCTGCTGGTGCCAAAGTTTAATGAAAAAATAATGTGTTGGCAAGGCTATTATAGTGAATGTTGCACGGAAAAAAAGCGTTGGCCTAACTTGACCTTCTTTATACACATGCAAGGGAAAACAGCACGCACATATTCATCTTTCAGCTTATGCAATTAGTTAAGCTTATCGGCTAGTTCTGTTTTAAGTCATTAATATCCTGCGTTGCCTATGGTACTTTTTGCTACAGTAGGTTATGAGTTCATTGTTCCCAATATCAGTGAGCCATGGATGTGACACAGCAAAAAGCCCTGAGGCGAAGTGAGTCAAAAGCTAGAGCTGCTCCAATAGCTTTCTGCAGCTATCAATATGCAGTTGACAACATAATTGAGGTTATTTAATGACTCGCCATGTGCCACTAGATGGAAGCAAATGGAATCACAGATTGTTCTTTCTACTTATAGTACTGGAATACCTCTGAATTATAAATTGTATTTCAGATGCTGGGAACTATTTCCAAAAAATGCTGGGAGAAGAATAATTACGCCTACATTATTTGTTTTAATGGTTTGAGAGACTGACATTTAAGACCTCTCTTTTTTCCTAAAGACTTATTTCCGCCTGTTTGGCAGCAATCAACAGTCTCCTGCATCATAGCCAGGAGATGTACTGTCATGATGAGCACAGATGCTGAAAGATAACAAGTCTTTGGGTTTCATTTTTCCTTCCTTTTAGTGTTAATGGCATCCATCCATAGGAAGGCTCACGCTCCCTGTGGTGTTTGATTGTGGCTGTGTGCGCTTGTGTTTGTTTTCGCCACTCTCCCAAGAGGTTGATTAGTCTTCTCCATTTAGCCACCACATTACTTTCATTACAGCATACATGGACGCTGGGGAGTGGCCGCCCTGGTCGTTTTCTCTCTCCATGCAGATTGTAGCACCATCTTAGTCCCTCTGGATTGGCGCACAGCCTACATCTGTCCCTTACCAGCCAGCATTCCCCTCATGGCATAGCCTCGAAGGCTTAATTAAATATCAGACCAACGCTAACTCTGCTGCTGGCCACCCACGGGCTACGTGGAAGGGGAGCAGGGGGGAGTAGAAGGCCTTTTAAAAGTCCACATAAAGAAAGAGGCTGAAAGAGACACTGATTGTAGAAGTAACATTCTCTTTGCCAGCTGCTGTCACTGGCAAGCAGACTGGGAGTTGATTTGCACTCATTACTGGGAAATGAGTAAGGCCCGAGGATGATGACCGCATTACTCCGATTGCATGTGATGTGATTGGAAATGTTGTGCAATGTTAATCTCCTCCCCTGTGTCCCCAAGATATAGAAAATAAATGGAGATGAAAATCTTTCTCCGCATCTTCACAGTGGGCCATGTATGATACAAATAGGAGTGGAGAACTGATTACGCAACAATGTCTCCCCTGCCCCCCCTACGAGAAGGGTTTTCATTCAGCTAATGACCAAAACACTTTCTGCAGGAGGTTTTGTCTAATTATTGCGGTTGGGACAAGCAAAGAAATGATTTGTTATGTATCTAGTGCATCTGTAACTCTGTGAATCGCATACTCACCGTATGAAAACACACATTTAAGGAAGCATCTCGGACAGGATGTACAATATATTGCTGTCTGAACATACTCCCGAGTGCGATGTGTGTCACCCTCAGTAGCGTGACCTCTCGGTTAGGTTTGATACTGTGTAAACACCTTGAGCTTCGACTCTTCAACAGTGCTTGGTGCTGTCTTTACTGATTAACTTCAGACTTGTTCACCCGAGTTTCTGGGTTGAACATAAAAGCATGACTAATTTTATATAGTACTGCTACTACCCGATTTCCATCCACTCCTGCACTCATTAGGGACCAACCTTTGTCTGAATGTTAGAGGCCATCTCATGTCTGTCATACTACGAGGTAATGGTCGCCCTGCTCTTTAACATGCACCGTGTCCACTGTGATCTTTGAGGACATCATTATCCTCTCCTTGTATTAGGGCAGAGAGTGGTGTATCAGTGTTAACCAGAGGATTTGGTTTGATTCTACAGTGATTTTTTTTTTTTTTTTTTTTCTGTGAGAATGATAGACTTTTTTCTGGACACAGTCTTTGAGGCTGCGATGTGAATGCATTTTATCTCGGTTTGTCTCTTCTTTTATAAAGTTCCCTCTTATTATCAGCACATTGCTCCTTCAGTTCCCATTCATAATTGCTGATATTGCTACATATCTTGTTGTGTGCCGCATAATAAGCAGGTTTTCTATCAATTACTAGTGCAGCAGGAATGAACACCTGCCACGTTCTCACCCCATTACCTTCCCTGGCACATTACATGCCTTTTAATATATTTAATATGTCTTCACTTTAAAACCATATCTGGCTTTTTTTAAGGACCTCATCAATGTGTCAGTACTCTTACCTTTGTCCACACCTCAAACAATGCAATCTCCCCTTTGGACTACATCTTTGTTCTTCCTCTTGTTTCTTTTTTTCTTCTTTTAAAGCAAAAGTCATTTCCTCTGTACCGTCCTTCTCCACTGCACATGCCCGCAGGACACAATTTCATCTTGCTTTGAACTCTTTTTAATTTTGCACAGTAGCAGTTTTTTATTAACATATTTATTCATTTATGACTCCTCTCAAAGCCCTTTGCATAAGAGCACACCTTTATTCTCTCATTCTCTCTCTCCGTTTCTCCCCTCTCAGCTCTCCACTCTCCACGGAGAACGGGCCTCACTAATGCAGTGTTGGTTTAATCCCTGCCACCCTGTCAGAGGCTATTTTCTCGGGGTCCTTTTCTTACTACAGCAGCTGTGAGCACATTCAGAGTTCTTAGACTCACCAGCTCTTGTCTAGACATTCTCCATCCTGCTTGTAGAGGTTCATGTTGTTCATTTTTTTTTTTTTTTTTTTTTTTTTTTTTTTTCTTTCTTTTTTGGAATGCAGTCAAGGGAGGAGCTTGTCTCGAACCCCCAAGGTCAAGGTGTCTTTCCAGACATTGCACAGTGGATCACCCCCTTCCACCCTACCACCCTCTAACCACCCTGATGGCAGCCACCTGTTAATGGCTGAACTCCCCCACCTAGATAATAATAACCTAGCCAGAGACCATCTTTCATCATGTGTCCTCACTCCATTTGAATAGAGGGAGATTTTGGGCAGGATGCTGAATAGACAGCCGAGGGGCCTCCTCCTGATGTGAGAGTTCTTGTAATGTGGCAGTGACAGCAAAGGGGATTCAGGGTGGTTTTATAATTGGAGCAAGGTCATGTGAAGTTTTCCAGCAGTTACGCAGTTGCTTCTTGCACTGAGATTGTGTTCTTGCTATGCTAGTTACAAGGAAACACTTAAAGAGGATATTGTACATGCAAGGTATTGTTAGCTATGCTGGCAGGGTGGTTCTAGAGATGAAAATGTGGGTCTGGTCTAAACGGAAATATCTCTACAACAGTATATAGATAGATTACCATAAATGAATTTCATTCATGAGGGGATGACACCCACTGTCTGTGGTGATCCTATCACTTTTCCCTCAGTGCCACTATGAGGTTGACATATTTTGATTTTAGTGAAATATCTCAACAACTATTGAATGGCTTGCCAAGACATTTGGTACAGATATCCATTGTGCCCAGATGATGAATCCCAATGATTTTTAATGATACCCTGACTTTTCATCTAGTGCCACCATTAGGTCAAAAAAATCTTATTTGTCCAATATTTAGATTTATGACCATATAACTGCAAAACTAATCATTCCTATCAGCCTCAGCTATACTTTGTGTTTAGCCCTAATTAGCAAATAGCATGTAACATCAGTATGTTAGCATTGTCATTGTGAGCATGTTAGGAAACTGGCGCTCAATGCACTAAATACAGTTCCACAGAGGCAACAACATGGCTGTAGCCTCTTAGCCTGGTTTAAAAGATGTCCATTACGAGATGGGTATTCCTCTACTACACTGTGATTAGTAGTGCTGGGCTAATTTTCCTTGTGGAGGGGAGCTGAGCTCTGGTGTGTAAATTTTCTTTCCTTCCCACCACAATCCTTTTCACACATTACACTCACCTTTCTCTTCTTCTCTTTGCTCCTTTATTCAATTAGATAGACAGATAAGTGGCAGACTCAAAGGGGCATTCAAGGTCTATATCTTAAGCGTTTTGCCTCACTTTTCTCTGTCTTTCTTTCCCTCCATTTTCTTTTCCTTTCCTTCAATCTGTCTCTCCCTGTCTTTCAGATGCCAAGGAGATAGTGCTGAAAGCTCAGATTCTGGCCGGTGGCAGAGGCAAGGGGGTGTTCGACAGTGGCCTTAAAGGTGGAGTGCACTTAACAAAGGAGTAAGTATCCCCCTATGTGCATTTCACACTGCGAGTTACTGTGGGAGATACATTCATATTATTTTCTCCTACGACAGCGGCTTTTAGAGTGAGGAGGCTCAAAGAGCTCTCTGAAGATGTTCCCTAGGCACAAAGACGCAGTCAGGATTACTTGTGCTGCAAATAAACAGTTTTTCTTTCTTCCAGTGTCTTGTTTTGGAACAACTACCCTCAATTAAATGTTGAAAAAGGGATTTTAAGGTCAGCAGAAGAGTTATGCACCCCATAGTGAATTTTCCTCTCAGGTTGATTGGGTTTTGTGCCTCTGCTGAGGTTCATTTTGTTCTATCTTGGAATTACAAAATGTGATAGCTGCATTCCTCCAATAAGGGCTCAGTCCGAAATCTTCTGCATTTTTCAAAAGGCTAAGCAGCCACAGCACCTTTTTTTTTTTTTTTTGCTCAGTTCCCATGTACTAAAACAGTGCTACCTGTTTTAGTAACGGTACCTACCACTTACTGCCGCCTTAAAGGCAAAAAGGTGATTTATGACAACTGTCCCATACATGTATCATCGTCACCCTACTTCAGGGTTTGGAATGGCCAGAAACTTTTTCGAAGTGAGATATGCTGAAGTTCATAGTCCCCAGACAGTGACATGAGCGCACAGTTCAGCTTCCTCTCATCTATCAAATGATGAGTACAACCCCTGGCTTCATTTGTATTCACTTATAAAACCAGAGCAGGCTTACAGAAGCACAGTCGGCATGCGCGCTGCTTTTAAACAGAGAGAATAAGTAGAGGTTCATTCACAGCGATGTGTAGATGAACCAAAGTGTCTCCAAAAGCTGTGCTTTGTCAGAATATGTTACATTAATGCCCAGAAAGTGCTGAGGCATATCTCTCTTCAACTGAACAAAGCTCTGGAGAGATAAAGAAATACTTATTCATCTGTCAGTTCACCTGCTTTTCTCATCTTTCATTTTGTAAGTGTATGATTTTCTGTGATTCTTGTTTTGTATACATATAAGAAAAAAGATTGTTGTTTAAAGTAGGATATTGTGTGACCTATAACCTCTCTCCTTCAGCCCTGCAGTGGTTGGCGAGTTGGCCAACAAGATGCTGGGTTTCAACCTGACTACCAAGCAGACACCTAAAGATGGAGTGAAAGTGAAAACGGTGAGGCGCTATGCAGACTGAAGTGTAGAAAGATATACTTAGCTCTTTCTTGTTGTTTTCTGACCTCATTTCAAGGCATTTTGAGTCCAGTAATATAATTCTGTAAAATTAATGACTGTGAAGGCAGTCTGGCTCTATGGTATTTGTTTTTTTTGTTTTTTTTCCCTAGGTTTAAATAGTAGCTGTTCACTGTTGTTTACTGTGGGTTTGTGCTGGCTGGTGTTATGGCTCATTGCATAAATAAAAGGCCCACTGTGAATTTAAAGTGTTTGGTAAACAACTGTTTCTATGTGCCACTAACAAGCAGGAATATTATTTTCTCTACTCGCATGCTGCATGCAGTGCCTCCTCAAAACAGACATTTCCAGGTGATGAAGCCCTCTCAGCCTGTGGCTTGTTTGTGGGTCCTGCACTTTTTCTTTGTCTCTCCTCATTTCTGTTCACCCCGGCTACACCCAACAGGGGCTGCTGCTCCTGCTTCTACTGCTGCGTTTAGATGGAAACAAATGAGTGTCACACTGTTTTTCATTCATTTGAACAGAACAGCCGTTGATGAACACTGAGCAGTGTTTTCCCTATGCCAGTTAGGCATAATGTACATTCCTACGCTTTAATTTAATAGATTCAACAATATAATCATGGTATTTTCAACACTTTGTTGTTCTGTATTACTCATCTAAAATATTTGATTCATTCATTCTGACCCACTTTGCTTTGTCATCCTTTTATTCTGTCCGGCTGATGTTGCATATTTTAAGCCGCAAATGTGTCACAGTAATAGCCTTGTTAGATTGTATTAACACCATAACTCAGTAACTTTAGCAGGGCAAAGAGAAGCAGATCAAAATAAGACCTGCCTCTAATAAAAGCCTGCTTCAAGTAAAGGCCTGTTAGCTTCTGAAGTTGTTGTAATCTCTGAAATTAAGCGAGTGCACATAAATTAGTTAAAAAACAATTAAAATATTTTAAATTTTCTATTTTTAAAATTTTTTTTTTTTTCCTTTGGTTTCTTGTGGGCATGGGGGGGGGGCAATCCCCCCAGGCAATGGAAGGGAAACACTGGTGTACTGAGACGCTTTGCTGTCAACCTGCCAATGGAACTCGCAACAACCCTTTACCCATACTGCACCACAGAGCAGAGAACACCACAGAAAAAAAGGGCAGCACATCTGCAGCTACATGGATTTGCTGTCATGACACCGGTAGAGGGATGCAGAGAGAAGATAAGGAAAGGTTTGAGAGATGGCTGTGGGAGAAGACTGAGACAAAACCAGGATTTGAGGGGAAAAAAAGGGGACTGTCACAGTGGGAATAGAATATGTTTAGTTTGACTGAAGAATCAGGCTACAAGTCAAATGACAGGGGACGTTTGAGCGACTGGAGAAGACAGCATTTGAACAGCGAGAAAGGTGTGCTGTCTGTTAACATGGAGTGTAGAAAAGGCTATCCATCCTCATTCGCTGGGCGATAGGGTGGAAGCAGAACATAAGGGCTGTGCATGTTCAAACAAACACTCCATCTAGAAAACCTGCAGCGTCTTCACAACCAAACAAATGATATTTTCTAGCAAATTTTTTTTCTTTCTTTTCCAAAGGAGCCTCTTGCTTGCTTCTCCCCTCTGCTTATGCCCCCCCCCCCATTTCTCTCATTCACAACAACAGAGATGCTTCATAGATTTTGACCCCGCTTATGTGTCTGTGTGTTCAGTGCAGTATCAAATAGTCGGTAAGTTGTGAAAATGCAAGATTTTCAGAGGTTTGCTAAACACTAGGAGAGATCAAGAAAACTGAAATGGGATTTTTTGTTTGTCTTAAAGTGATCATGAGTCTAATTGGCATCACTTTCTCCTGCTGTGCAATGTCCAGGTGATGGTCGCCGAGGCCCTGGACATTACCAGGGAGACCTACTTTGCCATCTTAATGGACCGCTCCTGTAATGGTCCTGTCATGGTTGGAAGTCCCCAGGGAGGTATGGATATCGAGGAGGTCGCCGCCAGCACCCCAGAACTCATCTTTAAGGTATGTGATTTGTGGTGGTACAATATTAAATGAGCTGAATAAGAGAATGACATTTTATCTGCCTTAAAAAGACGGTGCAGAGGTTTAAATCGATCAATCTTGTCTGGAGCAATGGAACTTAAAAGTGCAAACCCTTCGCCATCTTTGCTCAATGATCTCACTCTAAAATTGAAGTTGTATCTGACTTGACATCACGCCAGGACTGGATTTCCCAGTGGGTCTTACAGATGGAAGCTGTGCTCTGTTCAGATTTTCTGTTAAGTCAATGAATTCATCGTCCTTGTCTGCATGCACACAAACAGCCACACACTAGAGCTTAACATGAACAAATACACACAGACACACACGAAGAAGCCCTCTGTGTTTTATATTGCTATTCATTAGGTTTCATTACAGACCTTAATCCATTGTAGTCACTTTGCTGCTTGGCAACAGGTCATTGTTAACAGACGTATCACTTAAGCATCACAGATGGAATATGCCTGCATTTACTATTGTTATACAGCTTTCTCTTCTAAGTCTATAGACGTTAGAATAGTTAAGATCCAGCTGAGATTTATATCATTCATTATTGCACTGAAGATTTCAGATTATATATGTAATACACAGCTATAGTGTTGCTATGTAACACACATGATAGTGCAGTACACCATTCACTCATCTCGTTAAAATCTATATGGTCCAGACCTATTTTATACAGATTTGGTCCATACCTGCTAACGACAGTTGCAATTGTATTCTCTTGTTTTCTTCAATCTGAAATCTTATGGAAAAAAAAAAGAGCTTCTCACTATCTAAAAGCCGAAGATACGAGGGTCTAATGATCATAAATCTACCATTTCAGTCCCAACTGTCTATTCTCTCCATGTCTGGCAGCTTGCCACTGCTTAATTATGATGTCGGCAGTTTAATATGAACATCCGCTTTGTGTCAAATTATAGCCCAGTGTTTGAGCCTCCTGTTCTCTCTCTCACTCCGTTTCTCCGTTTTTTTCTCTGCGTCTCCCTCTCTCTCTCTCTCTCTCTCTCTCTCCCTCTCTCCCTCTCTCCCTCCTTCACTACAAATCTTATAGGAAGTCATAGATATATTTGAAGGTGTGCGAGACGACCAGGCGCTTCGCATGGCAGCTAATTTGGGTTTCAAAGGACCTCTGCAGAGACAGGTAATGGGCGCTGAAGGCTTTAAAGCCACAATGCAAAGAAGAGGCAGAAAGATCTACGATACACACACGCACACATACAAAGACTGATGCATGCTCGTTCACAAACAAACCAAACTTTGGTAACTATTGTTAGTTTTCCAAAGGCAAGTTGTGAAAGTGTCATTGCACTACACACTTGCCAGGTGGTCTATTGTCATATCTGGCAGTGACGCATAGTACTGTGCCAGGCTGAGGGAGCCGACATCACTAATGATACCATTATTTGATAGAACATGATGCACATTGATTTTGTGAGTGAATCATCCAGCAAGAAACAAAACTCATCTCAATGGACAACCTATGATTTTCAGGACAGTGAAACAAATATTTTTTCCTGTCAACTTAAGTTTTACGATGTTCAGGCGGCATTATCTGCTAAAATATGAAGCCAAGGGAAAACGGCACAGTGACACCCCGAGTTCAGATTCAGAATAGGTATGTGGGCTTAGACGTAGAGTTCATCTCAAATCCATTTGTTTCTTGGCATCAGATCACTAATTTGTTTTCTTTTCCACAGGCTCCATGGCATGAGAAATCAGATTAGCTCAGAATCTTTAACACATGGAATACGCATAAATGAGCCAAACGAATCTACTTCTAAAACAAACTGAGAGTCGAAGATGTTTCATCTTCGGTTGCATCCCATTGTAGTTGATTCTTTTTTTGCAGGATACTGAATGGGCATTGATTTTAACCAGGCAAGGAGAGAAATAGAAAGTCATTGGTTAAGTGTCTGCATTGTCAGTATATTTTTCCTTGGTTGCTGTGAGTTGGCTGCTGGACAGTTTAATTCAGATATAATTACAGCTCTTCTAAAATACCCTTATTACGTGGAATGCAGTTAAAAGACATATCAGTTGAGATCCCTTTTAAAATAGGGATTTTGACCGTGATGATTTTAGTATTCTGCCATTTCTATGTTGCTGTATTCATAATTTACTGCCTTATTGTTTGTAAATATCAATCCTGTTTAAAAAAAAAAAAAAAAAAAAAAAAAAAAAACTACAGCACTTACAGGTATATGAAATCTACTGAAATGTTTGTTATAATCTTATATATTTTTGCAACAACATTAGCTTTGAATCCATGTCTTATTTGCTTACTGTGAAGTGACAGAATTTTCAGCTCAGAGACATACACATTCATGAAAAAAACAAACTCAGACAGAGCACTGTTGAAGGTGATTTGCCATGTTTTATGTAGCCTGTGTGGGAGGCTGAGTGGCCTTGGCGGGGCCGGCTGCTCAGAGCCGAACCATCAGGTAATTACTGTCCTCTGTGGACCACGCAGGCAGCAGATCAGATTAAGAGGCTCTATGATCTGTTCCTGAAAGTCGACGCCACTCAAGTCGAAGTCAATCCTCTCGGAGAGACTCCCGAAGGACAAGGTACCTTGTATCATAGAAAGTGCCTGTTTTGTGTGTATGTGTGTCTGTGTCTGTGTGTGTTGACTTGGTCTCTGTCTTGTGTGCATTATGTGTGTATGTGCTTCCTGTCAGTAACTGTCCTTAAACCACACTAAAGCTCTGCAATATTTGAACACTTTAAATAGAGAATTCAAAATTTCACGATGAACATGCAGCCACCCACTAATCACTGACTGTGAGATACAGGCACACTATCTCCTCAGGTCTGAATGAATTTAAGAATGTGAAGTGTAATTGCAACACATTGACGTCAGCTTCTTGTCTGGATGACTTTGTCTGGATCAAAATCCAAGTGGCTTCAGGGAGCAGAGCTTTCCATATTTATAGCATGTTGATGTTTTTTGATGTTTCCTAGTTATTGATGATTAACTAAAGGCGTACAGTCTATCATCAACTAGTAATGAGGAACTACAAATTACAGCAGCAGCTACAAGCACATCCGTCATGAGTAACCTCTCAGGGATATTCTTTGTATGTGTTGGAAAACATCTTATAAGCATCACACTGGGGGTGTTAGCAGGTACTAAAAATGACTTTAATTACATTTTACATACTGTATATCCAGTGTGATAAGTCAGTGAACTGTTACAGTTGCACTGAGGTTTTATTTTCAGTGTCAACATTGTATCAAATGTATTTCAATAGTTACCTCCGCCAAGGAGGTTATGTTGTTTATTCGCTAGCACGATTATGCAAAAAGCACTAAATTGATTCGATTTGCACACTTGGTGCAGGAATGGGACACAGGCCAGGGAGGAACCTATCCAATTTTGGTGGAGAACCGGTTAAAGGAATTTTTAATCACTTTCCTTAACATTGTTGTGCATTTTCCAACATTTTTCTCAATACTTCACCTTGGCGAGGGTATGCGCACTGGCGCACTCTGAGTACCATTCCCGTTATCTTCTTGTTGCATAAATAGTTGAAGTCTTCAGCACCAAGAGCTTAAGTTTTGAACTTTTTATCTGAGAATGAAACAAAACAAAAAATATTTACCTGTAAAGCCCCATTCAGAAATAATTGTTAGATCATCACACTATCACTTACCTCTCTGTGTCCTATATCTCGCCTACTTGTACATCTACCTTATTCCTAATGTAACAATGTGCTAAACCAAAAATACATTACTGTACATACACTAACCAGGAACCCTTCTGTTTAATGTCTTTGAATGGATGAAAGGGGGGATTATAACAAATCAAAAGGTTTAGAATGATCATTCTCGATTCTTTATTGTAATGCAGCCTGTTACATATTCAATTGAAATTAACTTCAAGTAATTAGCTTGAGAATAAATGTATTGTCTTGTAGAAAATAAATAATGCATTGTACAAATATGAATTGTCACAATGAGACTGAAGACCAAATTCATCTCATCATTGTTATGCAGTAAAGGCTGTGTAACAAATGGTACTAATGTTGAATGGAGCTCTAAATTGGCAGTTGGACTATTTCAACAAGCGTCCGACTGTCTCTGTGTTGCACTGCATTAAAAAGAATCCCAGAATTGCCCCTCTAGCCACTTGTCAACTGAAACCTCCCCACATGATTTGCTCAGAACATATTATTAGATTTGTATTATATTTGGGTCTGAAAAGGTCTTTAAAAGTTATAAAATTGACTGATATCTGCAGACACCCCTCAAAGACAGCATACTAATTGTCACTGCCTGCTTTTCTAAATCGTCTTCAAGATCTGTAGCTGGTACCAGGCGACTTTTGTGTCTAATTGTTTGCCTAGAGATTTGGATCACTAATTACCGTAGTTATGGTTCCAGGTACAAATCATAGGCTCAGAGCCTGCCTCAGTCCACTGTCTATAATCTTTGTATATGTTTTCCTCTCCTCTTTTTGAAAACGCTTGAATTCATAAAGAAAATCAGAAATACGGATAAATTTCAATCCCTGTGTTGCCAGTTGACAACGTGACACAAGTGGAGGTTAGCAGGTTAACATTTCAAGTGCTCTTCATTCAAGTAAGAAACACTTAGTCACGAAGGATATTGTAGCAGTTGTGATGCTGCTCATGCTGAACTTGCATTGAACTTTGTTTGTCTCCCAAAGAAATAAGAGTGAATGTCTTGTCTGTGGGACTATACACAGATTGACTGTGATGTATCCTATCAAGAGGTATTACAAGACGCTGAAGATGCATCACATCTTTGATGTTATTTAGTCTCCTCAAAAAAACAGATTCTTGTTCAAAGTATGCTTCATCAAAGATTGACAAAAGGAGTTTGTCTCATGACTTCCTATGAATATTAATGATTAAAATGACTCCTTTCAAACGGTGGATTTATACCAAGAGGTACGAGTTTCCTTTTCTACCAGCAGGGAGAAGCAGTGGCTGTGACTGAGGCAGGCTTTGTAGACGAGCTTCGCATTAAAATCAACTCAGTCTTTGGTTTGATTTGTTCACGTCACAAGGGAGTGCAGCTATTATCCAGGCATTCAACAGACATGTATCGGAAAGGAAAATTTCTCTAGGGTGAAGAATTTGTATTTTTTTTGTCTCATTTGGAAATAACAATAACCCATAATATTTTGTAGATGGACTACAATAATAGATGTATCAAAACAAAAACAAGGAACTGTGTAGTGGGAGAGCTACTGTACCTGGAGGACATAGTATGTCTACTTCCCAGTCCCAGGAGAGTCTGCCTGCTGCATGTACTGTGTGTCTATAAATGTCTTTGTCTGTATGTCAATCCTGAAGTCAGTCCCCATGCTTCAATATTTTGTTACTTTTTTTCACTATCTCTCTATAGACTGAGAAAAGGTAACGTGGTTTATCTGGCTGTCTGTTAACCTGCAATGTGCCAATCATTAGGAAACTTTGTGATCTAAGTTACCAAGGCTGCCATTACCATAGTTTCTCTTTAAACCATAATGGTCATATTTTTAATGGTAGAAGGTTTTACAGACTGGTTAAAACGTGCCATGTGTAAACCAAATAGTGAACAGCTAAATAATTTTGTATATAAGAGTATAGATGGTTATAATTACTCCCAATTTTGCCTTTACTGCTTTATTTAGATTTTCTATTTAAGTGCTGTTGTGTAAACACAAAGCTCTTAACCCGTGTGCATCCTTAAGGACATTTTTGTCCTTTTCATTTTTAATTTTTTCGATCATTTTGGCTGTGTGATTACATATGGCACACATTTTGCCAAGGGTCCAAAAACTGTCATTTTTACTGCAGGTCACAATTCCCAACCCCCTGTCTCTATCCCTCTCTCTTTCACCCATCCACCCACATGCATGTATGTTCACCTGCATGCAAGTGCCTTCAAACTTAATAGAATGTAATATATTATATTGTATGTCGGATGTTCAGCTTTGAAGATCCCCTTACCATTCACTATATGTAAAATAATTCATAAAAATCAACAGTGGCATTATGTAAACAAACTGATTTAAATGTAAATGCATAAATATTTGGTAGATCAGGACTGATGTTGGTTAAAAAATGTATTCAGTGAAAATGGAGATTAACGTTAATATATAATATTCTTATGTCAATTCTTTTTTTGTGGTGGACATTTTTGTCCTCAAGGACCTCAGTGTAATTATTTTTAAAAGGATACACAAGGGTTAAACTAATTTATAAAAATTTTTGCCTGATATTTTTCCAGGTAGCTTCACAAGTATGTTCTCTTTGAAATACACTCTCTTTGAAGTGTAAAGGAAATGTGCACTTACTATAATGGTCTATCCCTTAGAGGCAGTGTCAAAAACACATGCCTTAGTGAGCCATCCTCTGAAGTAATTAAGACCAGTAGGCCGAGGGGACACCCCTCAGTTCATTAATTTCAGGTTTTAGAAATGATAATTAGTGGGCTTTTTTATGTCTGAAATCCTCTTCTTCTTCTTCCCTTTTCCCCCGCCTGCCATCTTCTTCTGTCTCACTTTTGTGCTTCCTATTTTGCTGTCTTTATTCCTAACTCTGTCTTTGTCATCTTTCCATTCCTTCATGCCATTGCCCCAGTGGTTTGCTTTGATGCCAAGATCAACTTTGATGACAATGCTGAGTTCCGTCAGAAGGCCGTGTTCGCCATGGACGACATGACTGAGAGCGACCCCACAGAGATGGAGGCAGCCAAGTGGGACCTCAAATATATTGGACTGGATGGCAACATTGCATGTTTTGGTATGGGAACAACCCTCATTCCTGCACACAGACGCACACACATACATCAATAAGTGAACCCCTCCTGGCATAAGACTTTAATGTGTCTCTTAAGTCACGTAAGTGAAAAGCTCGGACACAGTTAAAACTTAGTCAAAGTAAAGGCAGCCTGGGCTCTCCTCCAGTCAACATTACAAGCAGCTTTCTGAGGACTCCAGAAGGAATGCTGCCATAACCAATGCGTTCTAATTAGCTATAATCCGCCCAGAAAGTCTCCAGTGAGCCAGATTGTTAGCATTCTCATTAAAGGCCCCCTCTCTTGTCATAAATCAAAGCTTTTACAGTGTACAGCAGCACTAACAGGTGCTCTCACTTCTTACCCCGTAGCCTCATAAACACATTAGATGTCTGTTAGCACTACCCCCCCCCCTCCCCACACACACACACACACACACACACCCCATTCTGCATCCCCAGCTCCCAGCCTCTCTTAAAGTAACAACAGCTTTTAAGGCCCTGCAGCTTCCTTGAGAGCTCTGTAAGCCACCAAAGTGACAGCTGTTAAAGCGAATTTCCCTTTTATTGAGACCTCGGTCGGGGAGCTTGCCAGGACACAAGTTCAGCTTGGCTAAACCAAATGAGGTAAGACATTTTTGTGCACTTGGCTCATGCACAACTCAGCAGGGTAGCCGTACTGGCAGTTGGCTAAATGATGACACGGGCTGCAAAAAAGTGCAGCAGAACCTCTTTTAATCAACACTCTTTTCTCTGAAGTCAAGAGTCGAGTCATAATCAAATTTTCTCTGTGTTGCCCGACTTGACGCATTGAATGTTCCTGATTAGAAAATTTCCAACCGCTTCACTTTTTAAGTGTGACATTTTCTTTCAGCTATTTGCTCTTCTTTGGTTGATGAATTGCTGCTAGATTTCCTTTATGGGTGTTCTTACAGTACATGTCATCTTTCCTTCACTGGCTGGTGATGTTATGTTAATTAACTCACGGCTGTTGGCGTCACATTTTATACTCAGGGACTTTTGTTTCAATTTCCGGACTTAATGGTCAGATTTATCTTCATTGTACTTCAAAATACATGTAATACATTGTGAATTAGGTTATTGTGAGGCTGTAGCACCATTAACACTCACTCAACATGCTTGACACCATAAGTCTCACTCTGAAAAGGGCCCATTTGGCTTTTGAGCTATCCTCTATATTTCAGAATATGTTTTTGCATATCAATTGAACACAGTGAATTTTCACAGTGAATGGAGCTGGCTTGGCCATGGCCACATGTGACATCATTGACCTGCATGGAGGAAAGCCAGCTAACTTCCTGGACCTGGGTGGAGGAGTCAAAGAGAGGCAGGTGTATGAGGCCTTTAAGCTGCTCACCGCTGATCCTAAGGTAGGGAAAACAAAGTTGCATTTTTTCATACCGAATTTGATTATAACAATCAAATACATAATACTGTTGTTTATTTTAAAGCCCATATTCAAAGAAAAAGTCTGATTAGAAAAAAAACAGGTTCCCCACTTGTTGAATAGTATTTGATATTGCAGTCATGTAGCTTGTCATATCACACTCATAAAGGCCTGTCTGTCTGGTTAGTGCTTTGTCACACAGACAACAGCGCTCATTAGACTAGGGACCTTGGCATATGTCCATGTTTCACTGAGGGAAACAGACTCTGGGAGGCAGTGTGATTATACAGCATCATTTTCAGTAGCAGTGGTATTATAAATCTCTCCTCCGTCTTTTCTTTTAAAGACTTGTTATCACATGTGCATCTGCATGCGCACATTATAACACAAGACGGGCTCATATGCAACACAAAATGAATAAACAATTTTAAATCAAAGCGTGCCTCTGAAAGTCTTGCTGCTCTGGGTGAGTGGCAGCTTGGGGTGTTTTACAAGTGATTCAGCTCTATGTTCAGAAAGCTAATAACTCCAAACTAAACAATGTGAGCCCTGTAACGACACCGCAGCGCTGATTGTGTGTTGACAGTCATCACACTGCTAATTCCCCTGCTGCTGTCACTCCTTCATCCCTGCACTGATCTCCGGTTGCCTCTGTGTTAGCATCTCTGGCAAGGCTTGGTTGTACAGAATACAGAGCAGTGTTTGATAGCAATTCAGTCTTCTGCTCCCTTTTTTAAAACCTTTATTTACACATGCTGGTTTGACTTGGCACTACATGCTTTCAAAAATGCTGTATGTTTCAGACTCATTTTTTTAAAATCTATATTAAAATATACATGCACACCTGAGAGTTCCCAGATTCAACCGCAGTTTACCATTACTGGTTGTTGATACTGACCACCACAGCAAGTATACCTCAACAGGTTATTGAGGCACGAGGCGGCATCTTGCAGCTCACACTTTCCCTTCATATGACATGTCTGCTTTCTAATCTTGCTAGAGTAGGGCTAGCTTGCTTAATTTGAACTTCTACAGATAATGGAGAGGTTGTGAATACATATACATTGACTGTGATACACAGTCTGCTCCTAAAATATATAATTCCATCCATATTAGACTACAAGAAAACTAATCTTTCATATGGCTCAGTGTGAGCAGTGAGGATGTATAAATGGTTGCGACACTTTCTGCCTCATATTAATCACACAGCAGTGAACAGACCACTGTTGCACACCTTTGCAGATGAATGTTAAAATCCCACCAACCTTTAACACCCCAGCAGGTGATACATTGCCTTGCTCACATTTCCACTGTGTGTAGATTCTATTTGGTCTTACGTGAATTCAACCCAATGGTCTGTGGGGGAAAATAAAAATGAATATGGTGGATAAAAAAGAAATGTGATCAATAATGGAGAGAGAAAACTACAAAGACTTGTCACTCTCTGCTGGTATGGGGCCTCCATCTATTATTATTGAACCCTTTTAAAACGAGGTGGGATTCTGCAGAAGCAAATTCATCATTTTAAAGTCTGCACTCACCCCCCTCCGCCAAAAACACTCCCACCCGGACAAGAGGGATCCTCCTCCACCCTCCTCCTGTTCCTCCTTCTCTTTCTGTCTTGGGCTGATTCCCCAGATCCAGATGGGGGAGTAAGCCTGCTGCCTGTCCCTCCTGCTGCTGTGTATGGAAATAGAGACAGGGAGCTCCTCCCTAACAGGGAAAAAAGTAGAATAGGATTGACATTAAACTGGGTTGAAAGCACCATTAGCATTTCAACCAGGGGAGCTGAGAAACCTGCTCTGATCTGTGGAGGGAATGTTAATCATTTCACAATAAGAGCCAGAGAGAGCGCTGCTCATTTGCATTTAGTTTCTTTTTCTTTTTTTTTTCTTTTTTTTCTTTTTTTTTTTTTTTTACACAAATTACCACTCCCAAAGTCAAAAATATGAGCAGGAACTGAAATTAAAATCATGCTGTGGGCTAGGTGAATGTGACAAGGCAAAAATGATTGATTTCATGTGTCAATAAGTTATGGTGAGAGCACTGTTCTCCTTATTTGTCTTAAACATCAAGGCAATCAGTGCTTATGGCCTCGAAATGTAAGACCCTTTGTTGACTATTTATTCACATTTTGAAGTCCCACACGGACTGATTCACTCGCATTTCACATTGTTATTGTTCTACTGTTTTTTTAAACATTTCTTCTCCTCTCAGCTAATAGTTTTGACAGCATATATTATGAGGATGCTTACTTTCACTGGTACTGCACAAAACAGGCTCAATAGCTGCTGTAGGGAAGGCCATTAATGTTCTGCTGCAAACATGAATATGTGCTTTTTATTAGAGACAACTGTGACTTTTGACTGGGGCGATTAAAATGGTTTATTCGCTGTAGAAAAGAAAGAAGTGCATTCAGTGGCCAGGCAGGCAGTTCAGCAGGGAATATCCTGCTTTAATGATGCCACACATTTCCACAAAAACAGGTATTTTGGTGTCTGTCTTCTCTTGCAGTCTTTCTTCCTTTAGTCATTTTTACGCTTTTGTCTCCCTGCCTCCGTCTCTCTCGCTCTCTCCCTCTCGGTCTCCGCTTTGATGTCTCAGGCTCATTGTGCTGAGAGGAGTGGAAGTGATGTGAGTGTACTGCTGGCACTAAATAGCAGAGACGGAGCCTGAGATGACAAAGCCTGCTCTTTCTTGTTTGCTCACTTCTCCACTATCTACCCGTGCAGCATTCATTACCTTAAACATTATTATTATCTGAAAGAAAGGGGAAGAGAAAACAGATGAAACGGGGATACTGTATGTGAACATAAGAAAAAAAAAAGTCAAAATGAAATGATTGGGAGAAAAAAGTAAATCATAAAGCGATTGTGCAGCCTAGTGTGTGTTAAATATGTGAGATGTTATGTAGCTCAGCTGGGTGTACTAGACCATTCAGCTTTGTTTGAATTTAGGCCCCCGGCTTTTTAAGCGGAGACATATTTATTTTCCATGCTAAAATAAATAGCTCCACTTTCTTCATATCCACATATAGAACAGTCTGTTGACAGAATGGCTGAATTTATTGAGGTTTCCCTCACATCACCTGTAGGCAAGCACAACCAGGCAGCAAATACCAACAGCCAAATAACCTCGTTATTGCCTTGTGCCTGTGCCGTAAAGAAAGTGGCAGATGGATGTTTTGACCAACTCGACATCCATTTTGTTCTCAGGGCTTAAGGCTGTTTTCTGTAATTTTTAAAGGCTAGAGTAAATGATGACATTTTTCTAAAACACACCCTTGTTGGTGTATTTCGGTATTAAAACTCCTGCTGTATCGAACTATTAGATATCATGCCAAAAAATGATAATCTCTCAATAAACACATTATAATAATATTAAAACTTAATTTTCAACTTTTAATTTGAAAAGTACATCTCCCATCTTTAGTGCAAATGCATAATATAGTACCATACTACTGTATATATCATATTGCCAGATATAGTATCACCACACACATTTTAATGAACTTGTGTTCTTACATACAGCAGTTTGCTGGTAAATGAACTCATGAGGCACTATTCTGTACGAATGCATGTGTAAACATCCGCACTGGGTCGTCAGTGAGTAGCCACAAAACCGGCTTACATTTTGATCAACTGAATGTAATTATAATTTAGCAGAATAGCAGGGTCGTGACTATGGAGCTGAATAGTGGGGTTATGTCTGCTGGCTATCTTTGTGTTTTTATTCACAATCAGTAGTAAATCTCTGATTTTTCTGATAAGACAATCATTAAAAACCAGCATATTGTGAAACTCTTAATCCATGTCCATTGGGTCTGTCACAATAACTAACTTTTATTGGACAATATATTGTCCCAAAAATAATTCTGATAAACATTGTTATTGTCTTATTATTGACCATTTTATGCCACTGATATAATGGCAATATATTAACATACAACATGTACATGTGAACAATGAACAATTAAAATATCCTAAGTAAATAAAACAAATAACACAAGTAACAATAATAAAAAAAAGTTCTGTTAATGGGATCTCAGTGTTTCTCACCGGATGACAATTTACTCATGGTGTTGGGTGGTGCCACATGTGCATGCAGAGACTAATGCAGTTCAGGGGAGGAGAGTGTAACGCAGGTTATTTTCTATAGCTACAATTTACAGATGTGACCTACACATCTCACATACAGACTATTGGTAGACGCTTGCTAGGCAGCTGTGCACAGAGAAGCCTCTATTCCCGCTCAGTAACTTCAGTGCACACAACTCAGACAGGTGTGTGTCCAAAAATCTGTTAGTTTGAAGAGAGATCGAAATAAGGTGTTTTTATCTATCAGGGCGGGCCGACAAAATAGAGCCTATGTGTGGGAAACGCTGGCTGTCGTCTTTCATTCGGCTTAAACCCAAAATGTTCCTGAACCAGAGGTGAGGAGAGCAGCTTTGAAATCAAGTCCATTTGGATTCTTCCAAACTTTCTGGCTGGAATTATAGGTCAGGAAAAACACCTATTAGCCTTGAGTAGGGCGTTATTTTCCCTTCACCTGGTTCACTGTGTGTGTGTGTGTGTGTGTGTGTGTGTGTGTGTGTGTGTGTGTGTGTGTGTGTGTGTGTGTGTGTGTGTGTGTGGTGTGTGTGTGTGTGTGGCACCGCCAACAGAAACTCTTGACTCAGAGAGCAGATGAGAAGACAGATGCAGCACAACCACAAATGACAGCAAAATGTGTCTCAGCATATTTTTTTTCTGTTCAATCAGCTTAGGCTCTGAAAAGACCCTTAGGAGCTGCGTTCAAATCTTATAATGGTGGTGAAAATCCTGCTGTTCATTGTGGCATCATGTTGGCTAAAACGTTGGTGACGTTCTTTTGTAAACACAACAGGCAATATGGAGGTCAGCAAAAAGTATCGAGGTCATGCCCATATATTGTACGATAAGTCGATAAATGATTACTGTGACAGGCCTAGTGTTCATACCTAAA